GAATGTTCATTTCGCGTTTTACGAGCTTTTTGGCTATTTAAAATGATGACCTGTTATGGGGGAGGTACCAGAAAGAGTGGACCGACCTTCACACCAGATCTTGTGCTGATATAAATATTGAGATGTGCGAAATTTGGAGACAACCGAACTCTAATTTCACATTTTATAAGAGTTATAATTATTCCAAAGGTTGACCCTTGGTGGGGGAGATACTAGATGGAGTGGGCCGATATTGTTCATTTTCGCACTATGGTTAGCACTGATTAAAATGTTAGAATTGGCTAAGTATGCACAAAATTGGATGATCCCTTCTTCTTCTATAAGCCAATTTTTTTCTTTCAAAGGAAGGGACCGATTGCACATCTACGAACTCGATCTAATTTTGACAATAATATTGCGATGTGTCAATTTCGGGTCAAATCGGATACACCCTTCTAGAGTTATCGTGCGCACCAGCCGGACGGACGGACATCCCCCGATCGACTCCAAGTGTCCTGAAACGGATTTTTTCCAAAAAAGACCCAGGGTATAAAATCGTTACTGCGATGAGGCACGTTTTGGTCGTATCAAATGATATATACCCTCTGTAACCATATGGCTGAGAGTATAAAAAATTGTTGACTTTATATATATATATATATATATATATATATATATATATATATATATATATATATATATATATATATATATATATATATATATATATATATATATATATATATATATATATATATAAAGTCAACAATTTTTTATACTCTCAGCCATATGGTTACAGAGGGTATATATCATTTGATACGACCAAAACGTGCCTCATCGCAGTAACGATTTTATACCCTGGGTCTTTTTTGGAAAAAATCCGTTTCAGGACACTTGGAGTCGATCGGGGGATGTCCGTCCGTCCGGCTGGTGCGCACGATAACTCTAGAAGGGTGTATCCGATTTGACCCGAAATTGACACATCGCAATATTATTGTCAAAATTAGATCGAGTTCGTAGATGTGCAATCGGTCCCTTCCTTTGAAAGAAAAAAATTGGCTTATAGAAGAAGAAGGGATCATCCAATTTTGTGCATACTTAGCCAATTCTAACATTTTAATCAGTGCTAACCATAGTGCGAAAATGAACAATATCGGCCCACTCCATCTAGTATCTCCCCCACCAAGGGTCAACCTTTGGAATAATTATATCTCTTATAAAATGTGAAATTAGAGTTCGGTTGTCTCCAAATTTCGCACATCTCAATATTTATATCAGCACAAGATCTGGTGTGAAGGTCGGTCCACTCTTTCTGGTACCTCCCCCATAACAGGTCATCATTTTAAATAGCCAAAAAGCTCGTAAAACGCGAAATGAACATTCGATTCCTTTCAACCTCAGCACATCTCAATACTTCTATTAGCATAAGGTCTGCTGTGTACATGTTAGACACGAACCCACTCCTTCTGGCACCTTCCTCACAAAGGTTCAAAATTTGGAATAATTTTAAATCTGATAAAAGGTGAAATAAGAGTCCGATTGTATCCAAATTTCACATATTTATACGATACCCTACACCAATATGCATATTTAGTAGAGCTCCCATAACAAAATAATTTGTTTGAAGTAGACCATACAACCTATCAACATTTGGGTTTAGAGCAGTTATAGTTTGGTTTCAGAGGGAACTAATATGGGGGAGGCATCTCCAATTCTTAATCGATTTTCACTAAATTTGACGGAGACATTTTAATCCTTTATACCAAATTACATTGCACTCTATAGCAGGATATCACTTTGAGAAGGATAATATTAAAAAAATAATGTATCGGATCCGAGTTCCACCAAATGGAAACGTACGTCCCGAAGTTCACTCCATTTGGGCTGATATTAGCCATTATTTGCACAATAAACGTGAAATCGGATTAAGGATATATATGGGATCTATATCCAAGTCTGAAGCGATCTTGATGCAATTTTTCAGAGGTATTTCTGGGCTGTATCTGATACCAAACGTCATTCTATGGGGGACTTAAACATCAAATCGTAGAAAAACATATATATGGGAGCTATATCTATATCTTAACCGATTTTTTCCGAATTCGATGTACTTGCTTCTAGACTGAATTAGGTCGGATGTACCAAAATTCAGGACTTTTGGACTGATATTGGCCATTTGGTGCACAATTAACCGAAATCAGTTGAAGATATATGGGAGCTATATCTAAATTTGATCCGATTATCACCAATTTCAATATCCGATCCGATTATCACCAATAAATGCGACCTGCATTTTGTTCACTAGAATTGACGGACGGACAGACGGATTGACATGCACAAATCGATTCATAAAGTTATTCTATGAAGATCTTCATAAGTAACTATAAGTCTATCTCGCTTCCTTCTCCATGTTACAAACAAATGCAGGAAGACATATAGACCCTTACCACTATGAACTAGTTATACTAGAAGAAAATGTGTACCTAATATGCAAGGATGACAAACATAGTTTATAACTATATTCCGAAATAGATCTAAAGTCCTAATGTGACTAGTGCTAATATTTTCGAGCAAAATAATCCTCGTATTGTTAACACTAATATTGGTGAAGAAGGATCCAAAGTGATCTTAATCCTCCCCCCTCTTACTTAGGTTAGATTGTTAAGAAAACTTTCAAAACGCCAGTACACGGGTCATACATTTTTAGCTCCATTTTCATAATCGACTAAGTTTTTCTGAATTTGAAATATTTGCTCTGCTAAGGCAAAGGTCATTTGTTGCTGGATTTTTGATAATTTTCTATTTCAAGTTGAGCTTGTAATGACTTAAGGAAATGGCATTGAAAATTGGAACTAGCGAAGTACTACTCATCTATGTTTTTATACCCTCTGCAATACAATAAAGGATTTATCAAAATATTCGTCGGAGACCCAAAAATATATATATATATATTCCTGATCAGAATAAGCGGGTTTGCCGATGTTCGTCTGTCTGTCTATCTGTCCACATTTAGATATATAGCCCCCATATAATGGTAATTCCAGATTTTCGGTATTTTGAAGGTTTCTTCCACAATTTCCAACCAAATCAACTGAGACTTTACATTTTGAGGTCTTGGTAGGTCTGTTCTCTCCCTGTAAAAATATTCGCTCGCTACAGGTCCACTACTTGCCCCCATATAACGGTACCTCCCTGTTTTTGGTATTTTGAAGGTTTCTGCTACAATTCCCAACCAAATCAGTTGAAGCTTGACACTTGGGGTTACTGAAATGTTTTCTTCTTGCGAAAATGGTTCGATTAGCTTCCACTAATTGGTGTAGCCCCCATACAAAGGGACCTTCCAATTATGGTCATTTTTGAGGGTTCTGCTACAATTTCCAACCCAATTTTGGTTTGGATTATTTTATATTTTAATTAGAATAGATTCTTCTTTTATCTTTTCATTTAATTCAATTTGCTTCGATAAACATAGTGGTGGAGGGTATAAAAAATTCGGTCCGCTCTATAAAATTATTATACCCTACAACACTATGTTTTGGGGTATTATAAGTTTGTTTGGGCCAAAAATGATGTAACACCTCGAAATATCGATTTCCCACATAGGAAAGTATATATAGATCTTCCTATCTCGCCGAGCTGAGTCGATCTAGCTATGTATGTCCGTCCGTCCGTCTGTCCATGTTAATTTGTAATCACTCTACAGGTCGCAACTATGGCCCAATCCTCACGAAATTGAAAATAGAGGTGGGGTTAGGGCCAGAATAGAACCCTATTGTTTTTGGAGATGATCGCATAATATTAAGGGGTTGAAATGGACCAAAAACTGAAAAATTTTTTGATTGTGCAGTTGCTTTACAGGTCTCAATTATATTCCAATCGAATTTAGTAGGGTGCTAGAGGTAAGGGCTGGTCAGAAGTCTTCCAATTTTGATGGTCATCGGGTAATATTTAGTGGGTGAAATAGACCATATAATTTCTGTTAAATAAAAGTCAAATATTCCATTGACCGCGAACATTTTTAGTCCCGGCGAAATCGCCAATAGATGGAAAGGTCAATTCTGACCGTAACGTAGATGCCGATAGTAAATATATCGGATATTTATAGCGAAATATATACAATGTGTATGTACAAAGGAAGGCTAACATCCCCTAGAATGCTTATATCTCAAGAATGGCTAGACCGATTTTGACAAATTTTGTCAATTCAGAATGCCCTGTTGGCATAAAAGGATAAAGTCTAAAAAGATTCCAATAATGATGTTAATGTAGATTTTTTTATTTTTTCATATTTTTTATCGCATGCGATTTTTTCAGTTTGACCTATAATATTGAAATGTATATTTTGTAACATTTTCTCACCTTACAACACAGTTTGGGGGTATTATATACAGACTACAATTATCGTTCCTCACGAAAATTTTCACAAGTGTAGGATTATGCTCAGAAGGGCTAGGCCTATTGTTTTTAAAGATGTCCGCAATATATTTGGGTGTTTAAATGGACAAAAACAGAAAAAATTTCCTGATCAAACAATTGAAGCCAATCGACACGCTTAAGAAGAGAGTTAAGGACAGGGAAGAATTGTAGCATTTTGGATGACCACTGGATTATATTTAGCTATAAAATGGACAACAACAACTAACAGCACGACGGAGTGCGTAAATATTGGGTAAATGTCCCTGTTCAAAATGCTAATGGTAATATTTGGGCATTGCTTCAGGACAAAAAAAGCGAAATCTTTCAAAATGGATTTGGACTTAAAGGGGCTTCTAATATATTGTTGTGTTGTAGGGTATCACATGGTCGGCCCCGCACGACTATAGCCTTTGCTTACTTGTTTTTAAATAATATTTTAATGTTGCACAGTGTAATAGAAAAGAGGTCAAAAGTTTAGCAGTGCTAATTTCAATAAATGCAGAACAACTGATAGCAAAATTTATGATTGCAAGACAAAAGACTAAATGGCTCAGTTAACGTTGGGTTACGTTAGAACAGATGTCAGTTGATGTCTTGAAATGAATGCTGATAAAAATTGCCTATAAATAGGGAAAATGTATTTTACAAGAAATATTAGTTTTCTTTCGATCCTGCTAATATTTACATTAGTAACGAGGGAAAAACAACAAGAACAATGACTAAATTTTGTTGTGTGGTGCTGATTTGCTGTTTGGCAATGGTAAGAACGGGGAGAAAATGAAAATAATCCAAAAAAATGCACCTATCAATTCATGTACTACGCATTAAGGTCTCCGCTGAACTTCCCGATTGGTATCCTCAGGATGAACCAGCAATCGAAGCCAAATGCCGTGATGAAAACTCCATTAGTTCGGACACCATGACAAAAATATGGTCCCATCAAATTGACGATACTCCAGAAATACGCAAATTTTTACTATGCCTAGCCGAAAATAAGAATGTTTTTAATTCCGATATGGGCTTTAAAGCCGATCGTTTACAGATTATCATGAAAGAAAGAGCCAAGATGGATTGTAAGCTGGAATTTATTGAAGAATGTGAAATGGGAGCCAAAGACATGAAACCCGACGATGCCATGATATTTAACATCATGAAATGTATTGTTGGTGGCATAAAAGAAAATTGTAAGAAAATTGAATAATGTCCAAGAAAATGGTAATACAAATAAAATTTAATGTGGTATTCATATGAAATGTATTGGGTTTCATTGTGTTTAAGTGAATAGAGAACCCAAAGCGAGAGCTCGCGCTATTGAAAGTAATATTTGAAATTTTGTTCAGTCTTTGATGTGGGTCAAATATTTGGTATAGCCAATGTCAGTTCATGTTTATGTACAGCCTTAATATAACGGTACATTCAGGTTTCCAGTATTTTATTCAGGTTTCCAGTATTTATTATTATTATTTTATTTAGTATTTTATATTCAAATATTCGTTCCCACATAGGAGAGTATATATGGATCTTCCTACCTCCCCGAGCTGAGTCGATCTAGCTCTGTATGTCCGTCCTTCCATATTAATTTGTAATCACTCTACAGGTAGCAATTATGGTCCGATCTTTACGAAATTTAGAATGGAGGTGGGTCTAGGGCCAGAATAGAGGCCTTTTGCTTTTTAAGATGATCGCATAATATTTAGGCGTTTCAATGGACCAAAAACTAAAAATTACCTGAATTTGCAGTTGCTCTACAACTCGCAATTATAGACCAATCGAAGTGGAAGTTAGCATGTGGCTAGAGCTTAGGGCTGGGCAGAAGACTTACAATTTTGATGGTCATCGGGTAATATTTAGTGTGTGAAATAGAACATAGCATTTGTGTTAAATAAAAGTCAAATTTTCTATTAAACCGCGAATATTTTTAGTCCCAGCGAAATCACAAATAGAAGAACAGGTCAATTCTAACAGTTACGCCGATAGATAGTTACGCCGATAGTTAGATGCCGATAGTAAAAATATCGGATATAAATAGCGAAATATATACAATGTGTATATACAAAGGAAAGGGATGCTAGCTAGAATGCTTATATCTCATTAATGGCTGGACCGATTTTGACTTTTTTTCAAATCAGAATGCCCTCTTGGCGTAAAATAATAAGGTCAAAAAATCGCATACAAAGATGGCAATAATGACATTTTTTTAATTTTTCATTTTTTTTTTTCAATTTGGCTTATAATATTGAAGTATACATTTTGTAATATTTTTCACCTTACAACACAGGTTATATGATACATAATAATTATATAATAAGGCATATACAGATTTCAATTATCGTTCGATCCTTACGAAAATTTTCACAAGGGTAGGGCCAGAAGGGCTAGCCTATAGTAAAAATGTCCGCAATTTATTTAAAAAAATATCCCAGGTTTTGCAGCTGTTATAAAGGTCACAAATGGGAAACAAATGACCTGAAATCTGGCATGAAGTTAGAGTTTAGGACCACTTTATGGACCACTATTTTTGTAGTGGCCTTTTGCATTTGGGGATGATTGCAAAATATTTAGGGGATCAAAGGAACCAAAAACTGAAACATTTTCCGGATCACACAATTGAATTCAATCGACACGGAATTTTGCATGAGAAGGAAGTTAAGACCAGGGAAGAAGTCTAGCATTTTGGATGACCATTGGATTATATTTAGCTGCAACTAACAACACGACGGAGTGCGTAAACATTGGGCAAATGTTCCTGGTCAAAATACTAAGGGCAATATCTGGGCAGTGCTCCTTGGCATAATTTCAAAAGCGAAATCTTCCAAAATGGATTTGGACATAAGGGGACTTCTACCATAATGTAATGTTGTAGGGTATCACATGGTCGGCCCTGCACTACTATAGCCTTTGCATACTTGTTTTCAATGCTTCTGATATTGACATTAGTATCGAGGAACTATTTGTGGAACAAATTTTCTTTCTTTTTAATAGTTACAGAAAATCAGTAGAAACTAGAGCCAAAAGTGAAAGACATGTGTATCGACATTATGAAAGTTTACATAGCAAAGTAACTAAAAAGAGAGGGCAAATTCTAGCTTTTCTAAATTTTTTGAAATCATCAGAATAAGAGTCCTTGCAATCCTTGCACTATAGGGTCTCTCCTTGGGGATCATACCATGGTCCATTTCTTTAATGATGCTTTAAATAGTCAAAAGCTAAATGTTGCAAAACATTTCTGAAAATGTTGGAGTATCTTTGTGTATGGCCAAGGCTATATAAAGTCATTTAAAAGTTTGGCTAAAGAACCCGACAATAAAGGGTGATATAAAAAACTGTAACAAAGTCAAAAACAATTTTAAATTTTATTGAATGAAAGCAAAAAATGTCAGAAATAGCATCAAAATTAAGAATAAGTGTAGATCTGCCTAAATGTTGCTCTGCGGTATTTTGGCCCATTCCCGGCGAAGCGCTTGCTTGAGGTGATCGACAATTCGGTATTTTTTAGCGCCAAACTTGCTTTCTGGAGTACTATCCAGACATAATAGTTTAACGGATTGGTATCCGGAGATTTTGGTGGCCATTGTGCGCTGGAAATGAAGAGAGGAACCTCATTTTGTAATCATTCTTGGGGGGCGCGTGCTGAGTGCGATGGTGCTGGGTCCTATTGGAATGTCCAAGGACTGCGGCCAAAATGTTTGCGTGCCCAAGGCTTTAATACACCCTCCAGTATATTTTCGCGATAATGTTCGGCATTTATTCTGATGGCACGGTCGATTAATACGAGCGGAGAACAACCATCGGCTGTTAAGGCAGCCCACACCATTACCATGGCCGGCGCTTGCGTTCTGTAGGCTAACCGAAAGTGCACATTTTCAGCTGACCTCTTTGGCAAGTAAACACGATCATTTTGTTTGTTTATAAACTGCTGGACAAAGAATGTTTTCTCATCGGAGAAAACCAAATTCGGCAGTTAACCACTTTCGGCCAAGCGAAGCAACTCTCTAGCTCTTTTGAGGCTATTTTCTTTCTGTTGCGGTGTAAGCTCTTGCACTTTTTGGAATTTCAATGGCTTTACCCCGAGGTCATTTTTCAATATTTGCCGAATGAAATATTGCGACATGTTCAGCTCACGAGCGATTTTTCGGCCACTGAGACGCTGGTCGTTTCTTTTCGAAACATTTCTGCTGATGTTGCTGTTTTCTTGCGTTCACTTCCTTGATGTCGGACTAGGCTACCAGTATCACGGTAACGAGCAAATATAAGAATAATTGAAGATTTCAGTCCTATAGTAGTTTTCGTACAAATATAGGACGCATTTCCAAAATCATCTCCATATCTTAACCACAGACAGCAACAGTGGCAAATTTTGGAATTCCAGCTCTATCGGTTCACACACATCCCAAGTATACCAATTTTAGAACTCATAAGTACGAATTTCAAAAATTTCCTACATACCACAATCACACATTTTGGGATTCCAGTCCCATCGATCCACCCAAATCCAAATTTAGTACATACAAGTAAAAAATTTCCAAATTTTATACCCTGACATTAATCTTATTTCCAAATTTCAGGATGCCAACTCTATTGGTTCACTCAAAACCTAACTGTACCAAATGTAGTACACATGAATACAAATTACCATAGCTACCTACTTCATAAAATCCAAAAGAAATTTTATTTCCAAATTTCAGGATTCCAACTACACTGGATCTCCTAAAATTTAAAGTGTAACAAATTTAGTACCGTTTGGTACACATAAGTACAAACCTACCTACAAACCTCAGTCATATAATGCAATAATAATCTTTTTTCCAAATTTTAGCATTCCAGCTGTATCGGTTCACCCAAATCGGAATTGTGCCAAATTTAGTACCATTTAGAACTTTTCGTGCATGTAAGCACAAATTTCGAAATCCTCCATATCCTAATCATACACTCTAATGGTAATGTTAGTTTCAAATTTTAGGATTATAGCTCCATCCATTCCTCCAAATTCGAATTGCCCCAAATTTAGTACAAATAACCAAAAAGACCTCCGAATCCCAATTCTATTTTCATATTTCATGGTACCAGCTCAATTGGTTCAACTAAATCTAAACTGAACAAAATGTAGTACCATTTAGTACACATAAGTACGAATTTCCAAACCTACCTACCTCAGTCCAATGTAATAGTAATCTTATTACTAAATTTCAGCATTCCAGCTCTAACGGTTCACTTAAATCGAAATTGTACCAAATTTAGCTCCATGTAGTACTTTTCGTGTACGTAAGTAAGTATAAATTTCGATAACTTCCTCCATATCCCAATCGTACTCTCTACCAGTAATGTTAATTTCAAATCTCAGGACTTTGAAAATTCCGTCCTCCAAATTCGAATTGTACATAGTACATAGAATAGTACATATAGTAGAATAGTACATATAAGTACAAATTGGCAAAACTATCTTCATATCCCAATTCTACACTCCGACATTAATCATGTTTCCAAATTTCAGGATACAAGCTCTATTGGTTCACCCAAATCCAATCTGTCCCAAATTTAGCACAAGACAATGGACTAAGTGCCTTAATTAACCTGGGGTTGCCCTGTTTCAGAACTCATTTCTTGTAATTAATCCTGATAAGAGTTGCCTATAAATAGGGAAATGTAATTTGCAAGAAGTAATAGTTTTCTTTCGATACTGAAACGACAAGAACAATGAATAACTTAAGTTGTGTCCTGCTGATTTGTGGTTTTGCAATGGTATGAACTGAAAAAAAGAATAAAAAAAAACAAAACAAAAAAAAAAAATATAAAAAAAAATTAACAAAAAAAAAAAATATATATATATTTATATATATATATATATATATATATATATATATATATATATATATATATATATATATATATATATATATATATATATATATATATATATATATTTTTTTTTTTTTTTTTTTTTTTTTTTGTTAATTTTTTTTCAGTTCATACCATTGCAAAACCGCAAATCAGCAGGACACAACTTAAGTTATTCATTGTTCTTGTCGTTTCAGTATCGAAAGAAAACTATTAGCAACTTAAATCGCAAAGACAATAAATGTCCTTTAACTTTTACAAAAATAAACAAATCGTAATTATTTTTCCAGTTTTAAATGAGTGGTTTAATTCACTTTTAAGAAACTAAAAATAAATATACATAAATAATTTTAAACGAAAAATAATATGTGGAAAACTAAAGTGACCCAATTTTTGCTTGGTCAAAACTAAAGCAACTTTTGATTTTTTATTTTAAAATAATTCAATTTTGGCTAGTAGTCGATAGCATAACCATTATTTTTGATAGCAGTTGCATACCTACGAGGCATTGAATCTATAACACGCTCAATTTGATCCTTGGGTGTGCTTTCCCAGGCACCCCGAATTCTTTAGAAAAAGTTGTGCTTATTTATTTCCGAATCTCGTTTGATCTTCTTATCTACGATACTCCAAAGGTTTTCTATGGAGTTTAGGTCAGGTGATTGTGCCGGCCATAACAACACATCAATTTTTGACTCCCGCAACCAATATTTGACAAGTTTTGATACAAGTTTGAGATCATTGTCATGCTGAAACACCCAAATCAGCCGAATATTTTACTCAGCGTAAGGGAACAACGTGATGTCCAACACATCTTTGTAAACAAACCGATCCACAACTTCATTTATTTTATGGATAGGCCCAAATCCATAGAAAGAAAAACAGCGCCACGCCATTTTTGACCCACCCTCATGCTTCACTGTACCTTTGCAACACTGCGGCTTGAGTCCTTCAATTTTTGGTCTTCTCGCCATAAAATTTTTCACATCTGAGCCTTTAATATTAGACGTAGACTCATCCCAAAAATAATGTTTTTTCCATTGAGCTTGATTCCACTTAATATTATTGTTTCCGAAAGCCTATTTGATTTTTTCAGATATAAATGTTTTTTGATGTCTTGCGGGCATGCAGACCAGCTGCCACTACTCGTCTACGCACTGATCTCGAGCTTATATCCAATGATTGCTCTCTCACCAATCCAGTTGAACTCTTAAATGGTTGTTTTTTATTTCTCTCACAATTTGTGGATCAGTACGGGCTGAAGTTTTTCATGGCCTACATCCGTTATAGACTGTTACTACTGATCCTGTTTAAAAAAACCGACTTAGTATACAGAAATAATTATGAAATCACTTAAATATTTATGAAATATTTCTCGGAAATCATTTTCTGTGATATATTGTTTTGATAGTCACTTATAATTTGCTGTTTTATTCAGGTACTGTATTTGCTTCCAGCCATTTTTATTTTTTTTTGGGCAGTACTTAAAAAACGCAAAGAAAATCCCATAATGTCGTAAGAAACTTCTCAAAAAGGATTTATGACAAGCGAAATTGTCGAAGGAATATATATATATATATATATATATATATATATATATATATATATATATATATATATATATATATATATATATATATATATATATATATATATATAAATATAAATATATATATATATATATATATATAAATATATATATATACATATATATATATATATATATATATATATATATATATATATATATATATATATATATATATATATATATATATATATATGTTTTCTCGGGAAATTATTCAATTTTCTTACAATTTTCCACAATGCCTGGGGCAACACATTATGAACTGATATATATATATATTTTTTCTCGGGAAATTATTCAATTTTCTTACAATTTTCCTCAATGCCTGGGGCAACACATTATGAACTGATATATATATATATATATATATATATATATATATATATATATATATATATATATATATATATATATATATATATATATATATATATATACATATATATATATATATATATATATATATATATATATATATATATATATATATATATATATATATATATATATATATATATATATATATATATATATATATATATATATATATATATATATATATATCAGTTCATAATGTGTTGCCCCAGGCATTGAGGAAAATTGTAAGAAAATTGAATAATTTCCCGAGAAAAAATGTAACGCAAATAAACTATGATAAAACCCTGGCTTGGGTAAAGTCGGCTAATAATTATTCGGAGGAAATTCTTGCTTTTCTATCGGCTTGGATGTATTCCGATAGCCGGGGGCATAGATGAATTCAGAATGACTAAAGGATATAATTAACCAAGACTGCGGACGGACCACACGTCCACCTCTCTCAGTATTTCGTCAAAATAAAACAACATATGCCACGAAGTTATTGAGAGTTATTTTAGTACAAAAACAACTGTTGACACTTTATTGGTGGAAGTGCCGAAGAAGTGTGCCAATATTGTTCATTTCGTATCTGACCTGATATAAATATTACAACGTACCAGATTTGGCCTATATCGACTCATTTCTTCCCATTCCATTTCTTCTTTCATGAAGAAGTATGCGTGAGGAACTACAGGGTGAGATAAAAACTGCAACAATGTCAAACGCCATAATTTTTACATTTTATTATACCCTCCACCATACATAGTATGGAGGGTATATTAAGTTCGTCACTCCGTTTGTAACTCATAGAAATAATAATTTTAGACCCAATTTAGCCCTATCCGTCTGTCCGTCAGTTGAAATCACGCTACAGTCAAAACGAATTAAGATAGGAAGCTAAAATTTTGCACAGATATGTCTTTTGTCTGCAGGCAGGTCAAGTTCGAAAATGGGATATGTCGGTCCACGATATGGGGGCTGTACCCCATATAACTGTACCCCCCGATATTCGGTATTTTGATGATTTTAGCCACATTTTTCAATGGAATTGCCTGAAATTGTACACAAGGGGTAATTTATGAGTACTTTACCACCTGACAGTGAATTTTTTAATTTTAGCCACATTTTGAATTTTTACCCCCCGAAAAAGAAAAGTCTATATAGGTCCACAATATTGTATATCCCTCATATATCGACAACTTCCGATATTAGATATTTTTAAGATTTTAAGAGAATGTTTAATGGATTTTATTTTTTTTAATTTCCTAATTCGTCCCAAATGGCGGAGGGTATTCAAAGTACGGCCCGTCCGAACTTACTGCTTTTTTACTTGTTCCTAATTCGTCCCAAATGGTGGAGGGTATTCAAAGTTCGGCCCGGTCGAACTTACTGCTTTTTTACTTGTTTAAATTTTATTGATTGAAAGCAAAAAATATCGGAAATAGCATCAAATTTTAGAATAAGTTAACATTAGTTCGAATTGGTAACCTTTGGCACGAATTATGGCCTTCAAACGGCCAATGAAACCGTTACACGCTGGCCGAATGTTGCTCTGCGGTATTTTGGCCCATTCCCGGCGAAGCGCTTGCTTGAGGTGATCGACACTTTTGTATTTTCTAGTGCCAATCTTGCTTTTCAAAATACTTCAGACACAATATTCCAATAGATTGGTATCCGGAGATTTTGGTGGCCATTGTGCGCTGGAAATAAAGCGAGAAACCTAATTTTGTGACAATTCTTGGGTGGCGCGTGCTGAGTGCAATGGTGCTGAGTCCTATTGGAATGATCAATGTCTGCGGCCAAAATGTTTGCGTGCCCAAGGCTTTAATACACCCTTCAGTATTTTTCTCAATAATATTCGGCATTTATTCTGGTGCAACAGACGATTAAGCGATAGCGAAGGGAGAGCGACCATCGGCTGTTATGGCGACCCACACCATCACCATGGCCAAAGCTTGAGTTCTGGTGGCCAAACGAAGGTGCACATTTTCAGCTGACCTCTTGTGCAAGTAAACACGATCACTCTGTTTGTTTACAAACTGCTGGACAACGAATGTTTTCTCTTACTCTTACTCTTTAGCTCTTTTGGATTTATTTTCTTTCTGTTGCGGTGTAAGTTCTGGCACTTTTTGGAATTTTAATGGCTTTACCCCGAGCTCATTTTTCAATATTTGGCGAATGAAAAATTGCGATATGTTCAGCTCACGAGCCATTTTTCGGCCACTGTGATGCGGGTTTCGATCAAGTCGCTTCTTTACTTTTCGAACCATTTCTGCTGATGTTGCTGTTTTCTTCAGTCCACTTCCTTGCCGTCGGGATATGCCAGCAGTTTCACGGTAACGGGCGATGGTACGAGACAAAAAAAAAAAAATTATTCACATTTAAATGCTCGCGTGCTCTAACGATAGCCACTTGTGGTTTTCCAGTCAAATATAAAGAAATCATACTATCACGCTTGAATTCTAACACGAATACCTTTTTTTCTGGAAAATTCTCACCAAAATGCTTTTGAAAGCTTGTAAACAATATAATAAGCTGTCACTGGAATAATTTTAATAGTTGTCAGACGAGTGGCTTAAGAATGACATCAGTTTGAAGTTGGTTGCAGTTTTTTTTATCTCACCCGCAATATCCAAATCCAAACCGATCTTTAACACATTTAGCAAAGAGATTTCTAAGCTGTATCTGATATCTGGTACCAAATATAATTATTGTGAAGTACATATTACGGATGTGAGAGCATAAACACGAAATCGCTCGAAACTTTTATTTGAAATCTATAGTTACACCTGTAACGATTTTCATCAAATTTAATGCACTTCTTCTATGCTGAATTCCGTGTATGTCCCAAAATCCATTTATATGAGAGTTATATCTAAATTATAGACCGATTGAAGTCATTTCAAAAGCAAACCTTAGGCCAAAAAAATGGTTTTTGAAAATTTTCAATTCGATCGGACAATAAATGCAACCTGTACTTTGTTTACAAAAATATATGGACAGACAGACGGACGGACATCGATAAATCGACTCTGAATGTACAATAACGTAATCCTGTTTCCAGTGTGATGTAGAGTATAATCATGTGGGAAGCTCTTTATTTTCTAAACAGTTTATTCGGGTGTCTGATCTGACGAAGCAATCATATTAAACTTAATTCGCTGAATATTCCATTTAATTTTCGGTAGCGGCTTCGACCATAATGGTCGAAGGAATTTTTGTTTTCTTAGCTACAAAATCCATTTTCAATTTAATTATATTTTTATTGTTATTATTCAGCCTTCTTACAATTTTCTTCTCCACCAACAATAACACATCTTATTATTTTGAAGAGCATGGCATCTTCAGGTTCTATATCTTTGCCCTCCTCTGCGCATCCTTCAACAAATCCTGGCTTACAATCCATATTTGCTCTTTCTTTCATTATCACCAATAAACGGTCAGCTTTAAAGCCTATTTCGGAATTGTAAAAATTCTTATTGTGGCCTAGGCACATTACATATTTTCGAACTTGTGGAGTATCTTCAATTTTACTGGACCATATTTTTGTCATGAGTTCTGGGCTAATGGAGTTTTCCTCTCGACATTTGGCTTCCACTGCTAGTTCATCTTTGGGATACCAATCGGGGCGCTCGGCAAAAGTCTGCAAGGGAATTGTTTTTTATTATTTGCAGTGTTGTTTCCTTGATTTCTTACCATTGCGAAACAGCAAATGATTAGAAAAAAACTTAATTTATTCATTTTAATTATATTTTCCGCGTTGTTATTGTAACGATCGACAAGATTGCAAGGAAACTAACGTTTCTTATGCGTTACATTTTCATTTATAGCCAGCTCTTATCATTTGTGTCTGTTCTGGTGTAACTGAAATAAAATTGAGCCGCGTAGTCCTTATCTTCTATTAATCAAATTCATAATCATTTGTTATGCATTTTATTAAAACTGAACTTTTGACCTTAGCACACAATGTTTTTCCTACATTGGCGATATATGCCATATGGGAATATTGAAATATTTTGGTCAAAAGAGGAGCTTCACAATACTCATAATTGGAGTGCTGCCATTATATGATAGTCAATTTTGGGAGGATTTTTATATATCCTTGAGATAGAAGGCTAAAATTTTGCACACATGCATACTTTGCCAGTAGGCAGGTTAAGTTCGTAAATGGGCCATGTAGGTCTAAGTTATCATATAGCCCCCATATACCATACCCCCCTATATTCGGTATTTTGATGATTTTACCGACATAATTTACCGGAATCGTTTCAAAGTTGGCATTTGAAGTTCGTAATAGATGCTGTAGTATAAAACAGAAAATGGGCCATGGAGGTCCACGTCTTCGTATAGCCCCCATATACGGTACCCCCCGATATTCGGTATTTTGATGATTTTAGCGACATTATTTACCGAGATTGTTTAAAATTTCGCATGTGAAGTTCGTAATGGATACTTTAGCTCATGCCAGAAAATTGTCTGTGCAGGTCCACGTCTTCGTATAGCCCCCATATAACGGTACCCCCTATATTCGGTGTTTTGATGATTTTAGCTACATTATAAAGGGATTTTTCTTCAAGTTTCGAATTAAAATATTGTAATAACTTATGACAAAAGTAGCCTATGCAGGTCCACGTCGTCGTATAGGCATTCGGTATTTTAAGATTTTAACAGAATTTTTAACGGATTTTATTTTATTTTATTTTTGGAAATTTGTCAAATTTGTACCAAATGGTGGAGGTTATTAAAAGTTCGGCCCGGCCGAACTTACACCTTTTTTACTTGTTGTAACATGCAGCAGGAACCAAGATTATCCCATAATTCCTTTTGATGATCTCCACTAAATCCCATTGTGAATCGATTTAAAAATGTCCGTCCCCCTGTCCATGTAATTTTGTATACAAGATACAGGTCGCATTTATTGTCGTATTTAGATGAAATTTTTCACAGTTCATTTATTCGACCCAAACCATGAAAAAATCGAAAACCTGGATACAAGAAATTTTAGCATTAGAATTGTAAATATTATCCTAGAATATCAATTTTTATTATTCCAACAATATTTTTACATGGAGTTACAATATTTTTGATTTTGGAGGAACTTAAAGTACTCACAGCAATACAGGGTTAAATAAAAAAACGCCATAATTTTATTTTTTTTTACATTTTATTGAATAAACGCGAAAAATGTCGGAAATAGCATCAAATTTTAAAATAAGGCACGAATTAAGGCCAATGAAACCGTCACACGCTGCCCGAATGTTGCTCTGAGTTGATCGACACTTTAGTGCCAACCTTGCTTTCGAAAATATTTCAGACACAATAGTCCAACGGAATGGTGTCCGGAGATTTTGGTGGCCATTGTGCGCTGGAAATGATGCGAGGAACCTCATTTGCTGAGGGTGATGGTGCTGAGTCCTGTTGGAATATCCAAGGTCTGCGGCCAAAATGTTTGCTTGCCCAAGGTTTTAATATTCCCTCCAGAATATTTTTATTAAATTTTTTTAGTCTGATGCCACGGTCGATTAACACGAGCGGAGAGCGACCATCGGCTGTTATGGCGGCCCACACCATCACCCTGGCTTGAGTTCTTGTGGCCAACCGAAGGTGCACATTTTTAGCTCACCTCTTTGGCAAGTAAACACGAACAGTTTGTTTGTTTACAAACTGCTAGAAAACGAATTTTTTCTCATCCGAGAAAACAAAATTCGGAAGTTCACCTCTTTCGGCCAAGCGAAGCAACTCTTTAGCTCTTTTGAGTCTATTTTCCTTTTGTTGCGGTGTAAATTTTTGCACTTTTTGGAATTTCAATGGCTTTACCCCGAGTTAATTTTTAAAATTTACCGTATGGAATATTGCGATATTTTCAGCGCACGAACCATTTTTCGGTCACTGCGAAATCACACATGAACGTAGTGTTGCCACAGTTTAAAAAGAAAACGTTATAAGGCGTACCCTGTATAAGAGCCCTTTTCAAAGGTAAAACTTGGGGTCTTGTAATATCTATGTCGGGCTTAGATAGGTACACTTCCTCACACAGGGTCAAAATTTAAATCATCATAAATCATAAAATGAAAATAAAACACCTACATCCTTCAAAATTTGCATATGTCAATATTTCCGCCATCCTGGACCAAAAAGTTACATTTAAAAAAATAAACTTATGCAATTCATACGTTTTCCGATATTGCAAAAAGTAATAATTCAATCACCATTTAGTCAGGTGATCAAATGCATGACATCGGCTAACTAGGTAAGAAACACCTTTCCCACAAAAACCATAATTTAGTGTCCGATTTTTTACAAAACTTTGTAGATCCCCAGTACGTCTGACAATATTTGAGATATTAAATCACATCTAAGGCAAACTGAGTTTTCGAATAAAACCTGCATTTTGCCCCAAAAGAGTCATAATTTTGAGCAGTCGTAATATTTTGATTTAGAACACATCCAATAAAACGTAGACTATGTTCGAATTCGTATTTTTGTTTAACCCTTCCGAATGGTAAAATTTAAATAAATGTTTAAATTTCATACAAAGTCCAGATTTAGACTTGGCTAGTTTTCTTGCTACGATTTTTATCGTTCTCCTTTGAACTTGCCTCTTGAATTCATATTTTTGAATTATATTTTATTTCAGCAATTTGGTTCTAATCATTTCTTTTCCTGCCATTGATATTTATAAGTATGTATTTAAATTACAACATATCAGAAAATTTCCAGTACACGCCATTTTTGCCATTTATATTCCCTTACACCCATCTCTCTTAGAACAGATACTTGTCATAAGTAAATTTGACTAATCTAAATTCCGACAAAAATACAATAGAAATTTTACTTTTTTTGGTGTTGTATTGACATAAACGGTCCCTTGACAAGCCGACTGACTTTATAACATTTTCATACCCTCCACCATACTATGGAGGGTATATTAACTTTGTCATTCCGTTTGTAACTCCTCGAAATACTCATGTCGGGCCACAAAGTATATATATTCTTGATCAGCGTAAAATTCTAAGTCGATTTAGCCATGTCCGTTTGTCTGTCTGTCTGTCCGTCTGTCCGTTGTAATCACGCTATCTTTCTAACGAATTGAGATAGAAGGCTAAAATTTTGCACATGTGTTTATTTTTCCAGTAGGCAGGTTAAGACCACGTTTTCATATGGCCCCCATATAACGGTACCTACGTATATTCGGTATTTTGATGATTTTAGTGTTTTTATTCACCGGAATAGTTTCAAATTGCGTATTTAGAGCTCGTAATAGGAACTAAAGTCTGTGACAGAAAATTTTCTATGCTGGTCCAGGTCTTCGTATGGGCCCCACATACCAGTACCTCCCAATATTCTGTATTTTGACGAGTTTAGGTACAATACCCACCGTAATTGTTTGAGACGCGTATTTGAAGTTCGTCATGGATGCTACAACCTATGGCAGAAAATTGTCTATGCTGGTTCAGATCTTCGCACAGCTCCGATATAACGCTACCTCCTTATATACGATTTTTTGATGATTTTATCTACATTATTCACCGTTTATTTCAAATTTGAATATAGTAATGACTTATGACAAACGATGCCTATGTAGGTCCACGTCGTATAGAAACCAATTTAACAGCTATATTCGGAATTTTTAAAATTTTAACAGAATTTTTTAAGGATTTTATTTCCTAATTCGTTGTAAATGGTGGAGGGTATTCAAAGTTCGGCCCGGCCCAACCGACTGCTTTTTAACTTGTTATGTTTTCATAGAAGGTTTAATAGCTGAGACATGAGCATAATATTCATAGCATTAGAAGTTTTTTTTTTGCCAAATTTATCGCATTGGGATTCCCACTTGTTATTAAATTCATTCTTTAGGCAGAATTATTTTCACTATTAATTCAAATATTTCGTAACAAGTTTTAATTACATAGCAACAATATCAAATTTTTCGGATGCTTATTAATAATTATGTAACAGTTAGACATACTCATGTCAAACCACACTAATTTTTTCAAAAAATATTTAATTAAATATTATAATTCCTACAATTAACACATTTAAATCAATTTATCTTTAAAACACCAACGACTATAAAACAACCGTGAAATTTCCAAACCAACACAGACTTCAAGTTCAACGGCTATTGGAAGCAACAATGCATAAAATTATAATCGTGTTTCTATTCTTCTCTGGGGTTTTAGTATGGCCACAATTTTAGTTGATTTCAAACTGATGCTCAAATAAATTCTATTATTCTAGGTTCTTGCCAATCGGCCCGATTGGTATCCAGAAAATCCCACGGACATCGAGAAGGATTGTATGCAACAATATCCCATCAGTGCTGAAGCCAAAGCTGATATTCGCAATTTTAAGCTCACCGATACACCCAACATGAAATCCCTTTTGCTTTGTATTGCCAATGGACAAAATGTTTACTCGCCGGATGAGGATCTGGAACCGGAACGTATGGCATATAGTCTCTATAGAAGTCTGCATTTAGAATGCGAGTTGGATTTGGTGCGTGATTGCCTAGGGAATCATAAGGAGCACAGTGTTAATGGTAATCATGAAGATTTTATGTATCTAACGCTGGAATGCATATTCGAAGGAGCTCCCGGAAAATGTACGAACACAGAGTGATTTTGCTCAATTTATCTGTGGAATGTGTAAAGTTAAATCATTTAATTCATTGAAAAAATATTATGTGTTTGGAAAAAAAAGCTTGATAAATTAAATAACAATGCCTACCAATTTGTGACATGTTTTGGACCGAGTTGGCGATAAATTCATAATTCAAATAAGATCTCTGGTTGTAAAAAATGCTGTGATAAACAAAGTTAAAACAAGTAAAAAAGCAGTAAGTTCGGCCGGGCCGAACTTTAAATACCCTCCATCATTTGGAACGAATTTGGAAATTTTCAAAAAATAAAATCTTAAAAATAGCGAATATAGCCGTTATATTGGGTCTATACGACTTGGACCTACATAGGCATTGTTTGTCATAAGCCGTTACCATATTCAAATTCGAAACTTGAAATAAACGTTGAATAATATAGCTAAAATCATCAAATATTTAGGGAGGTACCGTTATATCGGAGCTATACGAAGACCTGGACCTGCACAGACAATTTTCTGTCATAGGCTGTAGTATCCGTTACGAATTTCAAATACCAAATTTGAAACAATTCCGGTGAATAATGTCGCTAAAGTCATCAAAATACCGAATATCGGGAGGTACCGTTATATGGAAGCTATATGATAACGTGGATCTACATGGCCCATGTACGAACTTAACCTGCCGACTGGAAAAATAAACATGTGTGCTAAATTTTAGCCTTCTATCTCGATTTGTTCGAAAGATTATCGTGATTACAACAGACAGACAGAAATCGCTAAGTCGACTTAGAATCTAGAATCTATCTTAGGTCTTAGAATCTAGAATTTATATTCTTTGTTGGGTCTAACATGAGTATTTCGAGGAGTTACAAACGGAATGACAAAGTTAATATACCCTCTATAGTATGGTGGAGGGTATAAAAAATTGTGTGTGCAGGCCCACGGCTTCGTATAGTCCCCATATAACGGTACCTCCGGAATTGTTTTTACCGAAATCGTCTCAAATGTCGTATTTAAAGTTCGTTATGGGTACTACAGTCTATGACAAAAACTTGTCTCTGAAGGTCCAGGTCTTCGTATAGCCCCCATATATGGACACCTCCCTTTATTCGGTATTTTAACGATTTTAGGTGCAATAATCACCGGAATTGTTTTGAAATTTCGTATTTAAAGTTCGTAATGGCTCCTTCATCCTATGTCAGAAAATTGTCTAGGCAGGCTACATTGCTAACATCGATGCAAACAGTTTTTCAATAATATAATGAATATTGAGATTTCTTCTCTTTGGCCTTGTAAAATTTGCTAAAATATTGGTTTGCAGGGGAATTTTGCATAAACTTGCACAAAGTACAGCTAAATCTAAAATTTGTTTAAAATCCGGACATTTCGGTAAGATTTAGATTTTTGATGAATTCTCGGACCTAACTGTATGAGGAGTATGTGTGTAGAGTGTTTGACTTGGTACAACTCCATTAACCAACACTATGCAAAGTTTTCAAATAAATTTATTTTAGTTTTTCACACAAGAACTGGTTATGCATTTATATCACACCCCTTCCATTCGGATGGAGGGCCATCCTTTTCAACCACTTCCGGACTTACTTCCTTCTCAAGGATACATTTGATAATATGGAATACCATTTCATCCTCTGGCTTAATATCTTTATACTTCGTAACACATTGTCCCACCAGTTGACGACGACATGTACGATTCATACCGATTCGATATAGAGCATATGCCAAACGATCTGCATTATAACCATTTTCACTTGTATAAACATTAAATCCCTTCGAAGCACACAAAACCAATTGCCGAAATGTTGGACTATCTTCGATGCGACCATGATCTATGTCATCGATTACGGCTTCCGGTAACTTATGTTCTTCCTTGCATTGTTGTAGGATACTATAAGCATTTGTGGGATACCAGTCGCTTTGACCAGCATAGACCTTTCGTTTTGTAAAAAAAGAAAGAACAACGTAAAGCTTTTATTGGGAAATTTATAAAAACTACAAAGAACATACCTGCATAAGATGCATGCATACAACTGATAACAGAATTAGTTTAAACATTGCTTGTATTTTACAGGAAGACTAAAATGCAAATAATAATGTGATTTTATTGACAGCCATATTTATATGGGAGACCTTTGATCTCAAGCAATCTTTACATATGTTTATTCCACGAACTGAAATTGTTATCAGTTCTTATAGTTAATCGACACTAGCTGACAACTTAAGCATTTTTTTGGGAAAACCCAGTAGATGTCATTAACAAATACCAAGTCTATTCGAAATACTAGAGTTGTCAAGTATTGTAAAAGTTATCCACACTTAATTTTTGTTATTTTGTTTTGTCTGATGGAGGAGCCCAACTGGCCATCTACTACCTGGAAGTCGGGAGTATGATGCAATCAACTACTGTTATGTGCCATAACTCTCATTAAAGGATATATATATGTGCGTCGACAAATTCCTCGGATTATCTTAGTTTATCGCATAACAGATATTCCACTAGAAAGCGAAACTCGCTCGCGAACAGCATTGATTGAAGAGTGGGAGTTTTTTCGAAATCAACTCTGAAACGTAATAGAGCGTAATTGCAAGTTGCCTAGAACTTGCAAAATAAAATGATTATTTATTCCTAAAAAAATACAAAACCAAAAATAAATAAGTAAAAATGTAACTAAGTTCGATCGGGCGAAATTTAAGTACCCTCCACCATTTTGAAGGAACTTGAAAAATTTCAAAGAAATTTCGTCGAAAAATACCACTCAAAGGAAAATCGTTATATGGAAGCTATACGTGCTCCTGGCGATATATATGGAGGCTATATGAAGACGTGAATTCCCCGTTATAGGTTGTAGTACTCGAGCTTACGAACTTCAAATATGAAATTTAAAACAACTTTAAAGCCTTGGGCACGCAAATATTTCGGCCGCAGACCTTGGACATTCCACAGGACTCAGCACGCGCCACCCAAGAATGCTTACAAAATGAGGTTCCTCGCTTCATTTCCAGCGCACAATGACCACCAAAATCTTCGCATACCAATCCGTTAGACTATTGTGTCTAGAGTATTTTGACAAGCAAGGTTGACATTAAAAAAATACCAAAGTGTTGATCACGTCAAGCAAGCGCTTCCCCGGAAATAGTTTCACTGGCCGTTTGAAGGCCATAATTCGTGCCAAACGTGAAATCTAAACTTATTCATAAATTTGATGCTATTTCCGAAATATTTTGCTTTTATTCAATAAAATTAAAAAAAATGTAAAAATTATGGCGTTTGACTTTATTGCAGTTTTTTATATTACCTTGTATACTGACACAACATCTGGTATGATATGTGTCGGCCCACCCCCTTTTGTAGCTCCCCTACAAAGGGTCACAATTTTCCATACTTATATCTTCTATCAACTTGGTATGTCTTAATATACTTCTCAACCACAGATCCGATGTGAATATGGTATTTATGGGCCAACTTCTGCTGGTAACTTCCCTACAAATATTCATTATTTTCATTATTCGCTTAAATCTGTCACATTGTACGAAATGGTACAATATTGGCTCACTCCTTCGGAACCTTCGCCATAAAGTGTCAAAAGTTTGAACAATCATAACGCAAGGCTGACGGTAAACATCTTTGTCCAAAACCTACTGATACATTTTAACTTTTTAGCTGCAATTTCAACAGAACTATCTTAAACTTCGCGTTTGGAGTTCGTAATAGACCCCACCTTCTCTGACAGATAATTGGCTGTAGAAGTCCATGACTTCGTATAGACCCATATAAGTGTAACACCTAAAATAGCGAAATATTAGAGCTGGTATGAATATAAGACACTCTTTGTGGTACCTCTGCCAGATCCGGAAATTTGTTTTCCTGTTGGTGTATTATACTAAATGTCTAGACAGTCGTAGGTTGAGGCTTCTGCAACCCGGTTGATACTTTCAATTCAAAAAAGTTGAACCACTTTTATACTGCAAATTACAAGTAAAAAACAGCCAAGATCGTCCGGATCGAAATTTAAATACCCTCTACCATTTTGAAGGAAATCCATCGAAAAATACTAAACTCAAGAGGTACCGTTATAAGGGGAAAATACGATATTGTGGGCCTATATAGACAATTCTCTTCGATGGGTTAAAGTACTCGAAACAAACTCCTGTTGTTGATTCTCAGACAATTTCATTGAAAAATTTTGCTACAATCATCAAAATTTGGGGAGGTACGATAGGGACAATTATAGACAATTCTCTTACAGGCGGAGAATTACCAAAGTACAAAGAACTCTTTGTGTAGAATTTAAGACAATTCCATTGAAAAATGTGGCTAAAATCATCAAAATACCGAATATCGGGGGAGGGGGGAGGGAGGTGCAGTTATATTGGGGCCATACGATATCGTGGACCAATATAGACAAATTTCTTTCAGAGGGTAAAGTACTCAGAAGGAACTCTTTGTGTGGATTTTCAGACAATTCCATTGAAAATGTGTCTGAAATAATCAAAATACCGAATATCGGGAGATACCGTTATATAGGGGCCATACGATATCGTGAACCGATATAGCCCATCTTCGAACTTGACCTGCCTGCACACAAAAAACTGGTCTGCGCAAAATTTTATCTTTCTATCTTATTTGACTCTAGCGTGATTACAACAGATGGACAGACGGACTGACAGAGCTGAATCGTATTAGAATTTTGCGCTGATTTGAATATATACTTTGTTAGGTTTAAAATTATTATTTCGATGAGTTACAAACGGAATGACGAATTTAATGGAACACATGGAATCAGAAGATGTCTATAGAATTTGTTCATTTTATAGAAGGACTTTTATGTCCAGGGGTCACGCAGAATGTCTTCTCTCTAAAAAAGATCGGTATAACTTTCAAGAAAAATTAATTATTAATAAATATATTTCCAAAACATTAAATCAAAGGATGGTTTATATTAATTTTTAAGAAAATTGAAAACAGTCATGAATCATATTTTATTTTCAAATTTTGCAGTTATTTTTCCGTTCCACTCCATATTTCTTACACTTTCTCCACCAAAACATTTTCATCCTCAACACACTTGGCCACATTGAAGACTTTAGTTCCTTCGGGTTTGACATCTAGATTCCTGCGTACACACTCTTCGACAGCACTGCGATTGTGTAAACGATTCATTTTCTCCAAGGCATATATCAGTCTAGCCGTATCGAATCCATTTTCGGACGTATAAATGTTCAAAGCCTTGGCGGTACACATAAAGAAACCAGATACTTCGGGACTATTCTGAATTATACCTTTCATTAAATTAAATTTAGTTTCAGCACTCAGGACATCATTGCATTTGTGTTGTGCAGCCGCTGGGTCTTTGGGATACCAATCATGGTCATCATCGGCAAGGGCCTTCAAAATGGTTATGGTTTATTTGGGAAAACTTTGAAAGATTTCAAAATTGTAAATACCTTTGTTAAAATAAGAGCTATGAAAATATAGATTATTTTGTTCATGACACGGAATGTGCTTAGCCAAACGGACGTCAATGACAACTGATGATAGTGAAATGTTGAGATTATTTTACAATGGAAAATATTGAAGAATGGAACTACCTATATATATATATATTGTTAAACCCTCCACCATAGTATGGAGGGTGTATTAAGATTGTCATTCCGTTTGTAACACCTCGAAATATACATTTTAGACCGAACAAAGTACATTAATTATTGATCAGCATAAAATTTTATGTTGATTTAGCGATGTCCGTCTCTTTATCCGTCTGTGGAATCACTCTAGCTTCCGAACGAATTGATAAAATTTTACTCAAATGTATATTATGTCTGCAGGATTTTTGGTATTTAAAATGGGCCATGTACGGTACCTCCCGATATTCGGTATTTTGATGATTTTATAATTATATGTGCAGGTCCGTCTTCGTATAACCCCATATGTAACGGTACCTCCCGATATTCGGTACTTTGTTGATTTTAGCGACATTATTCACCGGAATTCTTTCAAATTTGGTTCTTGATGTTCGTAATGGACGCTACAGCCTATGATAGGAGATTGTCTGTGCAGGTCCATGTCTTCGTATAGCCCCCATATGATGGTACCTCCCGATATTCGGTATTTTGATGATTTAAGCGACATTATTCACAGCAATTGTTTCAAATTTGGCATTTGAAGTTCGTAATGGATACTACAGCCTAAGAGAGAAAATTGTCTGTCCAGCTCCACGTCTTCGTATAGCCCCCTATAACAGTACCTCCTGATATTCGATATTTTGATGATTTTAGCGACATTATTCAATGGAATTGTTTCTAATTTGGCATTTGAAGTTCGTAATGGATACTAGAGCCTAAGACAAAAAATTGTCTGTGCAGCTCCACGTCCTCGTATAGCCCCCTATATAACGGTACCTCCCGATATTCGGTACTTTGTTGATTTTAGCGACATTATTCACCGGAATTCTTTCAAATTTGGTTCTTGATGTTCGTAACGAATGCTACAGCCTAAGACAGAAAATTTTCTGTGCAAGTCCACGTCTTCGTATAGACCCCATATAACGGTACCTCCCCATATTCGGTACGATTTTTTTAAGTTTCGAATTTGAATATTGTAATGGCTTATGACAAAAGTTACCTATGCAGGTCTATGTCGTCGTATAGACTCTAATATAACAGCTACATTCGGTATTTTTAAGATTTTAACAGAATTTTTAACAGATTTTATTATTTTTGAGAATTGCCAAAATCGTTCCAAGTGGTGGAGAGTATTCCAAGTTCGCCCCTGCCGAACTTGCAGATTTTTACTTGTTTGCTAATCACTATAATGCTAATTTTTCTTATCTGCTGGAATCTAAACAAAAAATGCAATTTCATATAATCTCAATCAATTTGTGTAAAAAAGGCTATATAAAATGCTTACAAAAGACTGGACCACGACTAGTTTCAATCTGTAACTACACAAATCTGTTCGGACCAAGACATTTTTTTTTCAATATGAACAAAATATTTGGTGTTATTATTTTAGAGGTAATTCTCTCACAGGTATTTATTTTGCTTTTCGCCTTAATCTATTTAGAAATTATTATTTTAACTCTCTTTGTCAAAGGCCCTTGCCGATGACCCACATGATTGGTATCCCAAAAATCCTGTAGCAGTGCATGAAAAATGCCGAGAAGAAAATCCACTTACGGAAGAAAGTCGAAATGATCTGGAAAAAGGTATTATCCATGCACATCCTGATTTGATTGCTTTCTTCCTTTGCACTGCCAAGTCCATGAATTTCTATACTACGCAGAATGGATTCGATGCGAATAGATTGATATATGCCTTAGAGAAAATGGATCTTTTACATAATCGCAACGCTGTCGAAGAGTGTGTCAAGAAGAATAAGGATGTTACTCCCGAAGAAACGAAGGTGTTTAATGTAGCCAAGTGCATTGAAGATGAAAATGTGTCCGGGGAAAAACATTGAAATTTGTTTGTTGAACAGAAATTAAATTCATAAAAAATAATAAATTGTGTGAATTACTAGCTGACCGGGCCGTAGTTTTAGTCATTAAGACATATTTTTTAAAGCATAATAATTTACAGATCTGGCTAATATAAGTGGCGCAATTTTTTTTTTTTTCAAATAATAACTCGACTAATACTTTAAGGAACCTGATCCCATTTTTTACCCATAGGTTTTAATTAAAGAGTTAGAAATTTAAATGATATAGCACATCTAGCACATCTATATAGCAAATGTTTATAGTAGCCTCATTTAAGAACTAAGCTTAATTTTTATACCCTCCACCATAGTATGGAGGGTGAAAATTCTATGTCGATTTAGTTCTGTCCGTCCGTCTATGGAAATCACTCTAGCTTCCAAAAGAAATGAAGTAGGTTGATAAAATTTTACTTAAATGTGTATTATGTCTGCAGGACTTTTGTTATTCAAAATGGGTCATGTAGGTCCACATTTTGATATAGTCTTGAAGTTCGTAATGAATACTACAGTCTAAGACAGAATATTGTTTGTTCAGGTCCACGTCTTCTTATAGCCCCCATATAACGGTACCTCCCGATATTCGGTATTTTGATGATTTTAACAAATTTACTCACCGGAATTGTTTCAAATTAGGTATTTGATGTTCGTAATGGATACTACAGCCTATGACAGAAAATTGCATATACAGGCCCAGGTCTTCGGATGGTGCCCACATAGTGTAACCTCCCTATTTACCGCATTATGAGAATTTTAGCTACATTATTCACCAATATTATTTTAAGTTTCGTATTTGAATATCGTAATGTCCTATGAAGGAAATTTCATTTTCAGGTCCTCGTCTTCGTATAGGCATTCGGTATTATTATGATTTTTTAAGATTTTTTTTTGAAATTTACAAATTTCTTTAAAATGGTGGAGGGTATTCAAAGTTCGGCCCGGCCGAACTGTTCAAATAAATTTCAGAAAATTTTTTAGAAAGAATAAAACATCCTTTAAAAAGATTATAGGTCAAACCACGATATGGTATGATCCTCATATGAACGTGTCGCCTGATTTGAGGTATTTCCGGGTTCATGGCCACTTTTTTTAATTGATCTGGTCCTTATTTGACATCTTGGCTCCAATTGGGTTGCAAATCTCTTCACAGAAAAATTTCAATGTTGGTCAATAAGTCGTAGTACGTATAGGAACCTCCTGATGTTAACTATTTCAAGTGTCTGACCACATTTTCCAATCGATTTAGCCTAAAATGCGGCTACTTTGGGAGTAGAAAACCATCATAGAGAAAAATTGCAACATACGTACATATTGTCATATTGTCTTAATATAACAGACCCACCGATATATAGTGATTATAATCGACAAAAAGACGGACATTGCTTAATCGTCATTTTTACTATAATCAAAAACATAGACTTTATGGGGGGTCTAACGCACAATTTGAGGTTATATGGTAATGGGTATGGAAGGGTATATAAATTTGACCATTCTGAAATTATTCTGCCCTCAATTATGAGGTGCACAAATCCCATCTTCTAAATCTCAATTTGTTGCACATTTGAATCGGAAATGTTGCTAAGCCCATTACAATACAAAAAAGTAAGATAGCTGTAAATTCGACCGGGCTGAACTTTGAATACGCTCCACCATTTATAACGAATTTGGAAATTTTCAAAAAGATAAAATCCGTTAAAAATTCTGTTAAAATCTTAGGGTCTATACGACGACGTGGATCTGCATAGGCCACTTTTGTCAAAAGCCATAAAAATACTCAAATGCGAAACTTGAAAAAAATCTGTTTATAATGTCGCTAAAATCATCCAAATACACAATATCGGGAGGTACCGTTAAATGGGGGCTATACGAAAACGTGGTACTGCAAAAACAATTTTCTGTCATAGGCTGTGGTATCCATTACGAACATCAAATACCAAATTTGAAACAATTCCGGTAAATAATGTCGCTAAAATAATCAAAATACCGAATATCGAGAGGTACTGTTATTTGTTGGCTATATGAAGACCTGCACAGACAATTTTCTGTCATAGGCTGTAGTATCCGTTACGAACTTCAAATACCAAATTTGAAACGGTTCCGGTAAATAATGTCGCTAAAATCATCAAAATACCAAATATCGAAAGGTACCGTTATATGGGGGCTATACGAAGACGTGGACCAACACAGTCAATTTTCTGTCTTAGGCTATGGTATCCCTTTGGAACTTCAAATATCAAATTTGAAATATTTTCGGTAAATAATGTCACTAAAATCATCAAAATACTGAATATAGGAAGGTACAGTTACATGGGGGCTATACGAAAACGTGGGACTGCACAGACAATTTTCTGTCTTAGGGTGTAGTATCCCTTTGGAACTTCAAATACCAAATTTGAAATAATTCTGGTGAATAATGTCGCTAAAATCATCAAAATACTGAATATCGGGAAGTACAGTTATATGGGGGCTATACGAAGAACATTAGGAACATCAAATTGTAAATTTGAAACATTTCCGGTGAAAAGTGTGACACAATTCATCAAAATACCGAATATTTGGAGGTAATGTTATATGGGAACTGAATCAAAATTTTGACCTACATTGCAAGGAACACATGCGGCCAATTTATAGCAAATTTGGGTTAAAATTGTGGCTAAAGCAGCAAAAACCTTAAATCTGTCGGAACAGTTATATGGCCATACCAAATGTCCTGCAGACCTAACACACATCTGAGTAAAATTTTATCAACCTACTTCAATTCGTTGGGAAGCTATGGTGATTTACACAGACGGACGGACGGCAGACAGACGAACAGACATCGCTAAGTCGAGAAATTTGTAAAAATTGTACTAAATTTCTAATATGGAACCATTTGGTTGGATAGAGCTAAACATTTGAAATTTTGTATGAGAATCAAGGTTGGAAAGTAAGTTGGATATATGGAGATGGTTTTGGAAACATGTACTAAGTGTGTGAACTGTACTAAATTTGGAACAGTTTGGTTCAGGGTAAACGGATAAGCTGGAATTCTGGAATTTTGTATGGTTGTACCTGTTGGTAGTAGGGGTGTGATAAAAATATAGTTTTGGAAATGTGTACTACAATTGAACGAAAAGTTCTAAAGAGTTCTAGATTTGATACAATTTGGTATTGGTTGAGCAGATAGTGCCGGAAATCTGAAATTTGGTTTTAGGGTGTAGCCGGAATTTATGGAGGTTTTGGAAATGTTTACTATTATTTTTCAAAAATACTAAATGGTACTAATCCCCAAATTTGATATTGATGTCTCTGTTGGTATCTGGGATTGCGATATGGAGATGGTTTCGGACGGACGATAATTAGCGGGTAAAGTAGACCCTAAATTTTATGTAAGAAATATCCACTAAACCGCGAATATTTTCAATCCCAACCAAATCACAAATACATTAAAAGATCACTTCTGTCCATTACAGTGATGCTAATAGCCAAGAAATCGGATATATAGCAAATAGGTACAATATATATGTAAAAGAATTGATCTTATTTATTCTGTTTATAAATCAAGGACCGCTGGGCCGATTTTCACTATACGCGTCAATTCGGAATGGTCTCTTGCCAGAAAGCGAAAAAATCTAAGAATATCACGGAAATATATACCAATAAAAAAGTGAATATCGTTTGTCGATTTTTTTCAATTTTGTCATATTTTTTATTGCCTGCGATTTTTTCAATTTGACTTACAATTTTGATTGTAAATTTTCTAATTTTTTAAACCCTCACCACTACGCAATTATCGTCCGATTCTCACGAAATTTTGCATGAGGGTAGGGTTAGGGTCAGAATTAAAGCCTATTGTTCTTAAGATGTACATTTAAAGGTGCAAATGGACTAAAAAAAAATAATTTTTTCTAATTTTGTGGTCGCTCTATAGGCCACAATTGAAAACTAATCGACACGGAATTTCGCATCAGAAGAGAGTTAAGGATAGGGAGGAAGTCTAGCATTTTGGATGACCATTGGATTACATTTAGCTGTAAAATATACCACAACTTTCGTGTGAAATTGTTTTGAATACTTAACAACACTACGGTGTGCGTAAATATTGGCCAAATTCTTCGGGTCAAAAAACTAAGGGTAACCTCTGGGCGGGGCTCTTTGACATTAATTCAAAAACGAAATGTTCCAAAATGGATTTGGATATAAGGGGACTTCGATCCAATTGTAGTCTTGTAGGGTATCACATGGTCGGCCCCGCACGACTATAGCCAGCACGAACACTTTCCGAAGAAAAATTAATTAAAACAAGTTAAAACATATCAGTCGAATTTGCCGAGTTCTCTTATGATTATTCAAATTGTTGACCCTCTATGAATTAGGCTCCGAAGGAATGGTCCAATATTGCCCATTTCGTATCGGACGTAAGTAGATATGATATAAATATTGCGACGTGTCAGGTTTGAACTATATCGATTGCTTCTTTCATTTTATTTGAGATACGTGATCAGCAACATCAAGAAAGGCAGATTCTACACTAGCCGAACAGTCTTTTAGTTTTAGTCATACCGTATGTATATTTTCTCAAACTACTGCAGCAAACGAAACAAAACCAAAAACTTTTAAAAATATTGTCGCTTAACTGTACCAACAAAGCCTTTTTCATACAAAATCCTCAGGCCTATTGCTTCTACTGTTTTCTCCTCTTTGATTTTGTACACGATCACCTTCTCCCGCAGTACTACGCAACATTATTTTAATCGATAAGGCTCCCACTCTACCTTTTCAAACAGGATGACTTGATGGAGCGCTCACACATTAAACAAAGAGAGAAGAGTTAACTCGATATAAAACTCTCACTCTTCGAACAATTCCACTCGCGAGTTAGTTTAACTCCCCAGAGAATACGAGCCAACCTTTTTTTCTGGTGAAAATGAAATACACCGGTTCTCTTTTTCTGGTGATTTTTATACCCTCCACCATAGTATGGAGGGTATTTTAAGTTTGTCATTCCGTTTGTAACACCCCGAAATATACATTTTAGACCCCAAAAAGTATATATATTCTTGATCAACATAAAGTTCTATGTCGATTTAGATATGTCCGTCCGTCTGTGCGTCTATCCGTCACTCTAGCTTCCGAAAGAAATGAAGTAGGATGATGAAATTTCACTCAAATGTGTATTATGTCTGCAGGACTTTTGGTATTGAAAATGGGCCATGTAGGTCCTCGTCTTCGTATAGCCCCCATATAACGGTACCTCCTGATATGCGATATTTTGATGATTTTACCGACACTATTTACCGGAATTGTTTCAAATTTGGTATTTGAAGTTCGTAATAGATACTACAGTATTAAACAGAAAATGGGCCATGTAGATTCACGTCTTCGTATAGCTCACATATAACGGTACCTCCCGATATTCGGTATTTCCATGATTTTAGCGACACTTTTTACCGGAACTATTTCAAATTTGGTATTTGCATTTCGTAATGAATACTACAGCCTATGACAGAAAATTGTCTGTGCAGGTCCACGTCTTTGTATAGCCCCCGTATAACGGAATCCCCGATATTCGGTATTTTGATGATTTTAGCGACATTATTTACCCGAAATTATTTCACATTTTGTATTTGAAGTTCGTAATGGATACTGCAGCCTATTCCAGAAAATTATCTGTGCAGGTCCACGTTTTATAACCCCCATGGTACCTCTGATTTGCTGATTCTTGCTACATTATAAACAAATGTTTTTTCAAGTTTCGCATTTGAATATTGTAATATTTTATTGTATTTTCTTCAAAAATTTCCAAATTCGTTCCATATGGTGGAGGGTATTCAAAGTTTGGCCCGGTCGAACTTACTGCTTTTTATCTTGTTACATTTATTTTTTAAATTTAATCGAATGAGAATAAATTGAGATTTGTTTGAATTGGTCACCTTTGACACGACTTATGGCCTTCAAACTCCCACACGATGCTCGAATGTTGCTCTGCGGTATTTTGGCCCATTCTCGGCGAAGTGCTTGATTGAGGTGATCGACACTTTGGTATTTTTTCACAATAGTCTAACGTATTGGTATCCGGAGACTTTGATGGACATTGTGCGCTGGAAATGAATCGAGGAACCCCATTTTGTAACCATTCTTGGGTGGCGCGTGCTAAGTGCGATGGTGCTGAATCCGGAGTTTTCAAAGTCTTCGGCCAAAATTGTTGCGTGCCCAAGCCTTTAATACACCCTCCAGAATATTTTTGCGATAATATTCGGCATTTATTCTGATGCCACGGTCGATTAAGCGATAGCGAGCGAAAAGCGACCATCGGCTGTTATGGCGGCCCACACCATCACCATGGTCAGCGCTGGCCAATTGAAGGTGCACATTTTCAGCTGACCTCTTTGTCAAGTAAACACGATCATTTTGTTTGTTTACAAACTGCTGGACAACGAATGTTTTCTCATCGGAGAAACCCAAATTCGGACGTTCACCACTTTTGGCCAAGCGAAGCAACTCTTTAGCTCTTTAGAGTCCATTTTCTTTTGTTGCGGTGTAAGTTTTTGCACTTTTTGGAATTTCAATGGCTTTACCCTGAGCTAATTTTTCAATATTTGGAATATTGCGATATGTTCAGCTCACGAGCCATTTTTCGGCCACTTTTCGAACCATTTCGGCTGATGTTGCTGTTATCTTCCGTCAACTTCCTTGACGTTGGACTACGCATCTACGACTACATCAGCATAAATGCGATTTAGATCCGCTTGATAGGCTTCCTGATTTAGATGCTCTCTCTTGTATCGTTGGAGCTCTCTTTAGATCATGCAGGTCCTTCCTGACACTCCTGGCTGGGGATGTTCTGTTCACCATATAATTGTTAGGATGATTTCCACGGTAACACTCAAACAGGCACTGCAACAAAAGCATATGCCTATGCTTACGTAAGTGAAGAACCTTCATCTTCTCATGTAAACCATCCAGGAGTCATGTTGCAGTTCTCAGGGCGGCATTCTGGCAGGTCTGAATGTTTTTCCATTGCATAACACTCGTATTCGCAGACCACATCGCATAGCTAATTACAAGGCAGGACAGATTGATTAAATGTGAAAAATTCTATTCTAAGGCTAAATTCTTGTACATTCAAATTTTCAAATAAAAAATCAGGACATTGTTTTATTTTTATGCTGTAGATGAGCACGATTTCGTATAGACCCCATACAACTATATATTTTATTTACCTTTTTCAGGAGAAAATTTTCAATTGAGGAATGTGGAGTTCGCAGTAGGTACTGCTTCCGATAACATAAATTTGCCCATGGAGTTCCCAATAGAACTCTCCTTCTCTGGCAGACAGTTGACTGTTAAGGTCCTCCTCTAGGTCTAGTACTAATTAAAATATAATACTGGACGGAATTTGAAGAAAATTGAGAACTTATTTTATCCTCTTTAAGTGTTATGATTATTATGTGAGACAGGTACCGGAAGGAGCGGGACGATGTTGCCAAGTTTGGAGACTTTTTATGAAAAGGTTTTAAAGAACTTCCAGGCCAAGAATTCATAATTTCTAAAACAATCCCTGACAAAGGATTTTGCATTTCAAGGAGTTTGTTCCAGACTGGGTTTCTGTTGACAAATATTTGAAGCACATTCCGTCTGTTCATCAATCTGTATTTTTATAAAATATTATTTATAATTTTTTACAAAATTTTTTTTTAATTAAATAAAAACCCTTTTTTAGAAAAAATGGCGAATTAAATATTTTCGAGAATTTCCTTGCAATATAAAATCTTGAACTTATTTTGCGATACATCTAGATATTTCATATTTTAATAAATTTTTCACACAGTCAACTATGGCTAATCAAATCTATTTTTTGGTATGACCCCCTTACAACGGAAACTCTACAGTTTTGGTATTTTGCTAAATTTAGCCACTCCTTTTAATAAAATTGTTTGAATTTTGGTAAAATACCATCACCTCTTGTATACAATTAACCTCCTCACAAATGGGCATATCTTCAAACGTCTTACTTTCAAAATAGTAGAGGGTGTTCAAAGTTCGACAGGGCCGAACTTAATAGCTTTTTACTTTCTTAGAAATATTTTCAAGATTTCCCGACTAAAAATCTTGTACTAGAAAAATATTTTTAAAAGTCTTTTTTATGAACATTTACTGCACCTTCTACTTTGTAAATAACACAAAGCATTATTACATTTGGTTAGTATATACAATTCATTTCATTTCAACAAGCAAATATCAATCATTTTGAAAAAAATCATCATCCTGAAAATTATGTTTATTCCCAGTAATATTTATAAACGCAGAACCGAGAGACCAATCAAAACAAACACACAAACAACAGCAATCCAATGCAAATAATAGAAAAAATAAATAAATATGTATCCCGGCTTATCACCAACTATCGCTAGGTCTTCTCAAGAAAACAAAAAATGAAAACCAAACGTATTTGCACAGATAAGATGACACAAAAGGTTCAGATCTCTTTCTTATCAGCTTAAGACTCGGCTGCAGCTTGAACGTCAACCAACAAAGTACAGCACATGTCTCTGGCCTCTGCATGTGTGTCTGTGGGTATGTATGTGTGAATGTCAGGGGGTAGATGAGGAGAATAAATGCTTATATAGCATTTCTTCAATTCCGAATTAAATCAGTTGATTGGGAACCATTCAACGCCACGGTTATAGTTCGAGAGTGAAAGTGCAGAAGATTTCGAAGACACAATGAAATTATTTTTGGCTTTGTTGGCCATTGTTGCCTGTGTAAGTGAGAACAATGACAAAAAAAAAACGCATAAAAATATAATTCACAAAAGAAAACGAAAAAAAAAAGAAAATAAAAGTCAATGCAAAATGAGTGAATGATCTGTGTGAGATCTTTGTTAAAGTCAAGGAATTAAAAAAAAAGTTGACATTCTTACAATATTCAAAAATCTTGAAGAGAGCAATTGAAATACCCTTGTCGCCAAGCAAATGCATTTTTATTAGTGTGTTTATGTTAAGATATGTAGATATGTGGAGTTCGGGATTATTCAAAGAAAAACTAAACTTTTGTCAATCATTTTCGACACTTATTAGCCTCAAAGCATGCAATACTTTATTATACCTTACATCACATAGTGGTGAGGGTATTATGTCTTTTTGCATTTGTTTGTAACACGGAGGAGGAAGTGATATATCCGTAGCTACTTTTGAGCATCTTCATAGAATCACTTTCTGAGTCGATTTATGCATGTCAGTCCGTCTGTCCACGTATTCTTGTGTTGCATTTATTATCCGATTGAGATACAATTTTTTAAACAATATTTGTTTGGCCCATGGACGAACACTATTGAAATTGATGATAATCGGATCAGATTTAAATACAGCTCCCACATATCTTCAACAGATTTCGGCTTAATTGTGCACCAAATGGCTAATATAAGTCCAAATGACCTGAATTTTGGTACATCTGACCGAATTCAATCTAGAAGCAAGTACATCAAATTTAAAGAAAATCGTGTCAGATATAGCTATAGCTCCCATATATATGTTTCATCCGATTTGGGGTTTTAAGTCCCTCACATGCGTAATGTGCACTCCACAAGAATGATATTTGGTACTGAACATCAGATACTTCTCGAAAATATTTCTGTCAAATTTTATCGAGATCGGTTCAGATTAGGATATAGCTCCTGCATGTATCTTAAACCGATTTCGAGTTAATTGCGCAGAAAATGGCCAATATCAGTCCAAATGACCTGCATTTTGGCCGAATTCAGCCTAAAAGCAAGTACATTAAATTTGGTGAAAATCGGTTCAGATATAGCTATAGCTCCCATATACATGTTTCATCCGATTTGGTGTTTAAGTCCCTCACATTCGTAATATGCAATCAACAACAATAATATTTGAAGATAGATTCAGATTTGGATATAGCTCCCATATATATCCTTAATCCGATTTTAGTTTTATTGTGCAAATAATGGCTAATGTCAGCCCAAATGGAGTGCATTTCGGGACGTACTTTTCCATTTTGTGGAACTCGGCTCTGATATACGTTTTTTAATATAATCTTTCTCGAAGCGAAAACCTACACTCTATAGCAATATTATTTGGTATGAAAGATTAAAATGTCTCTGTCAAGTTTAGTGAAAATTGATTCAGAATTGGATATGACTTAGTTCCCTCTGAAACCAAACTATAACTGCTCTAAAGCCAAATGTTGAAAGGTGGTATGATCTACTTCAAATAAATTCTTTTTTTACGGAAGCTCTAAATAGGCATAGTGGTGTAGGGTATCACATAGTCGGCCCCGCCCGAATTATGACTTTTCCTTACTGGTTTATTTTAAGAAGGGCAAATATTCTTTCCACACGTTTACACAAGACAAATTCTCCTGAATCAGAACTGTGTTTTACTACCACGTACATACTGATCCAAAGGTCTTTCTCACCATTTTTTAAAGGCATTAAATTCATACTATTTTTTGAAATTGCAATCTGGTTATGAAAAAAACATAAACTGCATTGTGCGAAGTTAAAAGAACAAAAAAATAAATTATTTTTAATTTTATGTCAATTGACTTATTTCAAATTTTAAACAACCGCCACAAGCACGTGTCAAAATTAGAGAATCGAAAAAGTCAATACTTACATCAGATCTTGAGTTTGGTCAAACATTGAGAATCGCTGACTTGTTTCGCATGTTATAAGGGTTATAAGTACCCAAAATGTTGACCCTTTGTGGAGCAGGTACCAGAAGGAGTGGTCCGATATATTTCATATTTACATCAGATCTCATGTTGTTCGAAATAATAAGATGTCCCAACTTCGAAGCAATCGACTTTTATTCCACATTTTATAAAAGTTATAATTACTCAAAATGTTGACCCTTTATGAGGGATGTGCTTGATGAAGTGGTACTATATATTCCGTATTCACACTTGATCTTGTGTTGATATAACTATGGAAATGTGCCGAATTTAAATGGGATCGGATACTCATTTCTCGTTTTATGAGCTTCATGGTACAAGGTCTTGTGTTAGTAGAAAAATTTGTGTGAAGTTTAGAATGAATGGGAGATATAATTGCTCAAAATCCAGAAGGAGTGGTCCAATATACTCCGTCTTCACACCACATCTTGTTTTAGAAGAATTATTGGGATGTATGAAATTTGAAGATAATCGGACTCGTACGTCTCATTTTATAAGAGCTATGATTATTCTAAATGTTGACCCCTCTTCGGGGAGGTACATATAAGAGCTATGATTATTCTAAATGTTGACCCCTTTTCGGGGAGGTACATATGTCATGGACCGATATTGTCGCATATTCGGGATTTGGAACATTTTTACAAAATGATCATCCGATCAGTTCCTGTTGAATATGGAAAATTATTTTCTGTGAAAATTTTCTGGGGGAAGTACCAGAAGGAGTGAACCTATACTATGGCCATCACCGAAATCGATGGATAATAATAGTACGATGTACCAAGTTTGAATCAAATCTGATGCTTACTTCGAGAGTTATCGTGCGCATCAGCCAGGCAAACAGACAGACGGAAGGACACATTTAGATTGACTCCAAGTGTCCTGAAACGGATTTGGTCCAAAGAGACCTATGGTCTGAAGCCGTTATTTCGATGAGGCACTTTTTGGCCGTATCAAATGATTTATACCCTCACTAGACACGTGGCTGATGGTGTTAGTCATTGATGTTCTGTGGAATGTCTGAAGCGAATTTTTTTTCTGCAAACTTCATATGGAAGGTCACGTCAATACTAAGGTTTATATATACAAACGATGCATTGATTCCTGAGTTACAGTCATTTTAGTGAATTTTTTTCCAAATATGTATTTTGAAAATATCCAAGAATCCTCAAATTTTGTCAACTTTCGTGTGTAGTTGGGTGGTTGTTTATCGACTTAGAATTTTATGCTGATCATGAGTCTATATACTTTATGGGGCCGATGACGAATATCGGGAGTTATCGTTATATGAGGTATACAATGTCATGGACCATTATAGACAATTCTTCCAGGTCGTAGAGAAATTCAATTCAATTTCATTGAAAAATGTGGCTAAAATCATTAAAATACCGAACCTCGATATAAACCAATGTTCACAAATTAGTCTAGGAATTCAAAACCCATTTTTGCTCTTATTTTGCAATTTTTCACACACCGTGGAGATCTAAAAGATCTTAAATATCAACATTAATCGAAATTGAATAGAAAATATGAGAAAGACTAAAAAATATTACGGACGTGACGTAGAGAATGATTCTTAAAGTAATTCACAGCTCATAGTACGTGTGAAAATACACTTATCGGACTTCTAGATCGTGGGAATTTGTATCTTTGTGAGGCTATATTAAACTTCATGTCCGTATGGACGAGCCCGCTTCGTCTGGTCAAAATGTTGACAAAAGTATGCCGAAATTGGACTAAGCGAATGGACCATTTGAGGAGGTGTAGTCCCGGTCTACATTTCGAAGAAATAAACTTCGAACATTAAATTATATGGACCGAGCCAAAAATCTAAATAAAAATGTCTTATTTTTTGCATTTTATGTGTTTTTTTAGAAAATCTTTCCTAAGTTTCATAAAAATTTAGTCGATTTTTTTCTTCTGAAATAAAATTGCATTTATAGCAAACAAAGTAATATATTTCTTCAACATTTCTTAAATAATTTTGTTTGCAGGTCTCGGCCGACGATTGGACACCCAAGACCGCTGATGAAATCAAAACCATCCGCGCTGCTTGCTTGGAAGAAGTTCCACTAACCGAGGAGCAAATGAATCACATGAAATCTTTCGATTTCCCCAATGAGGAAGCTGTACGCAAATACTTGATGTGCACCTCCGTGAAGATGGACATCTTCTGCACCCACCAAGGTTGGCATCCCGATCGTATTGCCAAACAATTCAAAATGGACATGGAAGAGAGTGATGTCAAGAAATTGGCCGATGATTGTGTTGCCAAATACCCCAAGGCCGATAAGGAGAATGATGTTCATGTCTATGAGGTTCACAAGTGTCTTATGGACAGTGAAGTTGGCCAAAAAGTCAAAACCTACATTAAGAAACGTCAAGAACAATTGTCGAAACAGGCCTAAATAAAATGAAAATCTTAAAAACAAGAGTCACTGGGTTATACATATATATCTAGAATATATTAGATTTTTTATGGGAAACTATAGTTTATACATCTCCAATTAAAAATAATGAATGCGTCACATTGTTTACGGGTGGGGTTTAGTTTTCAAAATATGGCTATTTCGAATGATTGTCGAAAACAAGACCAAAACTTTTTTTACATAACTGCCTGACAAAACCACCATCCAATCCAGTCAATTGCAGATTTTATAAAAAATGCACATATATCAAGAACAGCAATTCCATCTATATAGGCGATCATTCTAAATTTCCATATTTTAAAAACTTCATCAAACTTTCTGTGACCGATGTGCGCCAATTCATTTGCCAAATATTTAAATTTAATTCATAAACAAATCAAGTAATCTAAGAACACTAAGAATAACTGTGGAATAATATTATATATATATATACATATATGTTTTTTTAATTATTTTTTAAAAAGCACAAGTAAATAAATGGTTAAGCAAGCTTTAAAATGCGGAGTAGATGATTTATATTTAAATGGGTTTGTATTATAAAGATGGCCAGTTGATTTAAGACCCTTAGCCTATATAAAGCTTCTAAAGAGAATGCGAACGAAAAAAGCTATTCAAAACATAATTTTAAAATTTTTAATTTAATTAGAAATTCGAAAATACCCCAAGGCCGATAAGGAGAATGAGATAAAAAAAAAACTGCCACAAAATTCAGCGCCATAATTTTTAAATTTTATTGAATGAAAGCAAATCATGTCGGAAATAGCATCAAATTTTAGAATAAATTTAGATTTGTTCGAATTGGTCACTTTTGGCACGAATTATGGCATTCAAACAACCAATGAAACCGTCACACGCTTGAGGTGATCGACACTTTGGCATTTTTTAGTGCCAACCTTGATTTCCAAAATACTCCAGACACAATAGTCCGACGGATTGGTATCCGGAGATTGTGGTGGCCATTGTGCCTCATTTTTTAACCATTCATGGGTGGCGCGTACTGAGTCCTGTTTGAATGTCCAAGGTCTGCGGCCAAAATGTTTGCATGCCCAAGGCTTTAATTCACTCTCCAGAATATTTTCGCGATAATATTCGGCATTTATTCTGATGTCACGGTCGATTAATACGAGCGGAGAGCTATCATCGGCTGTTATGGCGGCCCACACCATCACCATGGCTGGCGCTTGAGTTCTGGTGGCCAACCTAATTCGCACATTTTCAGCTGACCTCTTTGGCAAGTAAAGACGATAATTTTGTTTGTTTACAAACTCCTGGACAACGAATGTTTTCTCATAGGAGAAAACCAAATTCGGCAGTTCACAACTTTCGGCCAAGCGAAGCAACTATTTAGCTCTTTTGAGTCTATTTTCTTTCTGTTGCGGTGTAAATTCTTGCACTTTTTGGAATTTCAATGGCTTTACCCCGAGCTAATGTTTTAGTATTTGCCGAATGGAATATTGCGATATGTTCAGCTCACGAGCCATTTTTTTGGCCACTGCGACGCGGGTTTCGATCAAGTTGCTTTTTTACTTTTCGAAACATTTCTACTGATGTTGCTGTTTTTTTCTGCCCACATCCTTGACGTCGGGCTACGCTACCAGTATCACGGTAATGAGCGATGATACAAGACATAAAAGATTTATTCACATTTAAATGCTGGAGTGCTAGCCATATATAAAGAAATCACACTATCATGCTTGAATTGAATATAATGAGCTGTCACTGGAATATTTTTAAGATCTGTCGGATGAGTGGCTTGGAAATGACAGCAGTCTGAAATTGGTTGCAGTTTTTCCATCTCATCTCAAGAAAATTATATGGGGTTTATTTTTTTTTTTTTGCAAAAATCGTCAGGTTTTTTTTTAATTTATAATTGAACGGAATTGTCGATCTTTGGACATGATCTTGTTTTCATATCATATCTCCGTGGGAAATTGGTAATTTAATAACAGATGATTTTTTTTGGTTAAAAAGTATTAGTCGGTTTTGCCGGCAAATGTATACCTCAGCCAATTTTGACTTCTGTTATGATTATTCAAAATGTTGTCCCTTTATGGAATAGGGGCCGAAGGAATGGATAGTATCGTATCGGACCTGAATAAATATGATATAAATATTGCGACGTATTAGTCTATATTGTTTGCTTCCTTCCCTTTATATGAAATATGTGCCAGACATGGTACAATCGACTGAAGCATTCCACTTTTAATACTTCATATAATACAGATAAAATATTGGTATGGCATGTGATATCATAAATTCCATATTCATCTCAGGTTTCTGAGAGATATACTCAGATATAGCAAATTGTAAAGAATTGCTGACTTGGATACAAACGGATTCTTATTTCGGAGTTTATGATCGTTTTGGTTAATTAAAAAAAAAAACTTTGACCCTTTGTAGGGGAGATAACAGAAGGTATGGTCCGATCTCTACCATCTTTATAACAGATCATGTATAAATAGAAATATTGAGATGTGCCAGCTCTGAATGGAATCGGATGTTCATTTCGCATTTTATGAACTTCATGGATAATCAAAATTTTGATCCTTTGTGGGGAGGTATCAGAAGGAGTGTACTGATATGTCCCATCTTCATATCAGACCTTGCTTTAATAAAAGTACTGTGATGTGTGTAATTAAAAAATAATGGGACTCTTGCATCACATTTTATAAGAGCTATAATTATAATTCTGACTCTTTGTGGGTGAGATACTTGTTGGAGTGAATCGATGATATTGTCCATTTTCATACCTGACCTAGCACCGATGGAAGTAATAGGATTTGATGGAAGTATTTAGTCATGAAATATTAAATATTTTAAAATGGCCATACCTACATAACTCCTTGAGTTTTCAGCGTTTTTAGCTATTATTTGTGATCACTTTTTAGGCGTGAATTATTGCATACTTTAAAATGGCCATAACTCCTTAAATATTGAGTTTTCAGCGTTTTTAGCTATTATTTGTGATCACTTTCTCAGGGATAAATTATTCCATATTTTAAAATAGCCATAACTCCTTAAATATTGAGTTTTCAGCGTTTTTAGCTATTATTTGTGATCACTTTTTTAGGCATGAATTATTGCATACTTTAAAATGGCTATAACTCCTTAAATATTGAGTTTTCAGCGTTTTTAGCTATTATTTGTGATCACCTTTTTAGGCATGAATTATTGAATATATTAAAATGGCCATAACTCTGTAAATATTGAGTTTTCAGCGTTTTTAGCTATTATTTGTGATCACTTTTTTAGGCATGAATTATTGAATATTTTAAAATGGTCATAACTCCTTAAATATTGAGTTTTCAGCGTTCTTAGCTATTATTTGTGATCACTTTTTTAGGCATGTATTATAAAATATTTTAAAATGGCCATAACTCCTTAAATATTGAGTTTTCAGCGTTTTTAGCTATTATTTGTGATCACTTTTAAAGGCATGAATTATTAAATATTTTAAAATGGTCATAACTCCTTAAATATTGAGTTTTCAGCGTTCTTAGCTATTATTTGTGATCACTTTTTTAGGCATGAATTATTGAATATTTTAAAATGGTCATAACTCCTTAAATATTGAGTTTTCAGCGTTTTTAGCTATTATTTGTGATCACTTTTTTAGGCATGAGTTATTGAATATTTTAAAATGGTCATAACTCCTTAAATATTGAGTTTTCAGCCTTTTTAGTCATTATTTGTGATCATTTTTTTAGGAATGAATTATTGAATATTTTAAAATGGCCATAACTCCTTAAATATTGAGTTTTCAGCGTTTTTAGCTTTTATTTGGGATCACTTTTTTAGGCATGAGTTATTAAATACTTTAAAATGGCCATAACTCCTTAACAATTGCGTTTTCAGCGTTTTTAGCTATTATTTGTGATCACTTTTTTAGGCATGAATTATTGAATATTTTAAAATGGCCATAACTCCTTAAATATTGAGTTTTCAGCGTGTTTAACTATTATTTGTGATCACTTTTCTAGGCATGAATTATTAAATATTTTAAAAAGGCATAACTCCTTAAATATTGAGTTTTTAGCGTTTTTAGCTATTATTTGTGATCACTTTCTTAGGCATGAGTTATTGAATATTTTAAAATGGCCATAACTTCTCAAATATTGAGTTTTCAGCCTTTTTAGCTATTATTTGTGATCACTTTTTAGGCATGAGTTATCGAATATTTTAAAATGGCCATAACTCTTTAAATATTGAGTTTTCAGGGTTTTTGGCTATTATTTGTGTTTTATTATATTTTAAATATGGCCATAACTCCTTAAATATTGAGTTTTCAGCGTTTTTAGCTATTATTTGTGATCACTTTTCTAGGCATGAATTATTCCATACTGTAAAATGGCCATAACTCCTTAAATATTGAGTTTTCAGCGTTTTTAGCTATTATTTGTGATCACTTTTTTAGGCATGAATTATTGAATATATTAAAATGGCCATAACTCTGTAAATATTGAGTTTTCAGCGTTTTTAGCTATTATTTGTGATCACTTTTTTAGGCATGAATTATTGAATATTTTAAAATGGTCATAACTCCTTAAATATTGAGTTTTCAGCGTTTTTAGCTATTATTTGTAATCACTTTTTTAGGGATAAATTATTCCATATTTTAAAATGGCCATAACTCCTTAAATATTGAGTTTTCAGCGTTTTTAGCTATTATTTGTGATCACTTTTTTAGGCATGAATTATTAAATATTTTAAAATGGCCATAACTCCTTAAATATTGAGTTTTCAGCGTTTTTAGCTATTATTTGTGATCACTTTTTTAGGCATGAATTATAAAATATTTTAAAATGGCCATAACTCCTTAAATATTGAGTTTTCAGCGTTTTTAGCTATTATTTGTGATCACTTTTTTAGGCATGAATTATAAAATATTTTAAAATGGCCATAACTCCTTAAATATTGAGTATTCAGCGTTTTTAGCCATTAATTGTGATCACTTTTTTAGGCAGGAATTATTCCATGCTTTAAAATGGCCATAACTCCTTAAATATTGAGTTTTTAGCGTTTTTAGCTATTATTTGCGATCACTTTTTTAGGCATGAATTATTCCATATTTTAAAATGGCCATAACTCCATAAATATTGAGATTTCAGCGTTTTTAGCTATTATTTGTGATCACTTTTTTAGGCATGAATTATAAAATATTTTAAAATGGCCATAACTCCTTAAATATTGAGTTTTCAGCGTTTTTAGCTATTATTTGTGATCACTTTTTTAGGCATGAATTATTAAATATTTTAAAATGGCCATAACTCCTTAAATATTGAGTTTTCAGACTTTTTAGCTATTATTTGTGATCACTTTTTTAGGCATGAATTATTCCATACTTTAAAATGGCCACAACTCCTTAAATATTGAGTTTTCAGCGTTTTTAGCTATTATTTGTGATCACTTTTTTAGGCATGAATTATTCCATACTTTAAAATGGCCACAACTCCTTAAATATTGAGTTTTCAGCGTTTTTAGCTATTATTTGTGATCAC